CATGCTCTGCGGCTAGAACCCGCATTAACCACGCCTTCATTGAGTAGTATAGGACTATGACACCACTAACGAAACTGGAATTCACTATAGTTGAAATTACAACGAAATTACTTAATCTATTTGCTTGGGAATCACTCAAATATATTCATAACATCAATATTCATTATTTTGATTACTTAAATCAATAATTTATCAATAATTTAAAAAAATATTTTAAGATTCTGACAATTTCTAAGCGGTCTTTATTGTCGCGGGCGCTATGCAATTTTAGAACTTATGACGGCGTTTTGTAAGTTTTTATAAAAATTATTTATTCACTTGAATCAGTACGGCGATAGCCCGGAGCCACTTTTTTGTGTCGTCTTAAATCACGTCTGCTGGAGCAGTGGTTTGATAGGTAGTGGCGCTCACGGAGGACTTTTGTCGACGTGTGCCTAAACCATTTAACGAACATTCACTGTTTCGGAACACAACAGTCACAAGATTTGATTGTATTTTGTGTAGCATTTACATGCATTGATATGGGTGACTCTGGTCGATGTCCGTGCTTGCGCACTACCAAGATACCGAGCTCACCATTATCGGATTGATGGTTATCTTAATGTAGACAACGGCCCAGGTTTCAAATTCTTGTCCATTTTCGGGGGGAGAGCGTTGTTTGGGTTGACGCTCACCGCTCACGATGATATCCTATGGCTCCCGTATTGGACACTTTCATATTTATATAAACGCCCAACCTTTTTCTTATTAATTGTACCTTTCCCAAGTAGGAATTAATAAGGAATTGACGGATGTGAACTTGCAACAAGTGAAATAGGGATGATGAGGAGATTACCTTAACCTTTTGAGCCCTTTTTTCGTGAACGGGGTTCTTTAGCTTAAAATAATTATAAGGCAGTACCAACTTTCAAATTCTCTTGAAAAAATTTCGTGAATATTTATTCTTCAAAGAGACACCTAAAAGGACTAAGTTACTAAACAAACATAACGTAAATAAGGATCCTAATTAAGACTATCACGCCGTAAAATAACGAACGGCCTATAAGTAAACCTTTAAAAAGATCCTTTCGAAAGAACAATATTCATTACTCTGGTCACGATATACATGTTATTTAATATTTTAAGAGATGACCAGTAAAAATAAACTTGTGAAGGTGTATCCTAACAATATCGGTGTCGGAGAGAAAAAAAATTGAAGAATCAGTCTAAGGAAAAGCATTTTATGAGATATTTGCTCGTAGGTAAGTTGATATACCACCACCCCTTTTTTAAAATAAAGATAAATAAACTGAAAAGGGGATACATATTAAACGTGATCCAAAATGAATTGTTTCAGCAAACTGCCTAAAACCAAATTGCATAAATGTTACCAAGAGTAAAAGCTTTTTCAAAATGAGATACATTGTTTAAAAAACTTAGGTCATAAAAAATAACCTGTGATAAGAAGAGAAATTTTCTTTTGATTTTTTAAGTAATATGAGGCTTATTCTACTCGTACATGTTGCGATAACCACAAAAGGCAAACGAGTCTGAATCAAATGCAGAATGATAATCATCATCACTCAATTCCAATGAAACCAAAGTGACAAACCAGCTTACCGTCCACCTTATGGTAAGTGAAATCCATAGATAGCTGCAACCAGCTTCAAGCAAAGAAGGCTGCAGATACGCCGTTACCTCTGAGGACTTAAATGGAATGTCACATAGATTTTAATTATATTAAGTTCCTATACAATTCAAACCGGAACACTTTGTAAACACTGCTATATGGTGAGTAAAAAGATAAGAATTTGGTATATTTACTAAAGGATTCCTAGGCTGACAACAAGTCCTACCACCTAGTAAATATTAATTTATTAATAAGAAATATAGAAAATATTAAAAACGACCCAAGTTAAAATACTAGCTTGAAGCTAGTTTACTCTAACATCAATCCAATTAATTTACCATTTGAAAAAGTATAAGTTTAGACTAATTAATTAACTAAGTGTAAAAATAGTGCATCTATTAAAGCAACAATACTCTATAAAAAAAACTGTATTAGCAAGGAATTTAGCAACATTTTAATAGTATAAGTTAGAAGAAACACTAAAATAAATGTTAAGTTTAAAGTATATGTTGGCACCTGCGCCGTTGTACGTGCAGCAGCGCCTCTATGGCTAGAATTATTGTAAACAACACGTGCACTGCACACTTGCGCGGTGCATCTGCGGTGGCGCTCGTGTAGCTACTTGTCTCTATTGTACTCGTATAAAACGGACGGAGCGGCCGCCGTTAAGGCAGTCTTGGCACTGGCGTGGCGATGCACTTGTTGTAGTCCTTTACTAGCTCAACCGCGACTCTTCGGATAATTAATTCGTGGAAATGAATTAATTATTTTTCTCAGCTATTAAATTAGTCTCAGTACAATTTATAGTCGATTATCTGTGATCTGTGTATTTTGCAATTGTAATTAATTCTATGTAAAAGAAATGTCCCGCTGGGTTTCTTGCTGGTTATTCCCAGGACGGAGGTTTTCTTGGAACCAGTGGTAATATATTGACGTAAAAATGATGCAGTGCTATCCTAAAAGCATTTGCTGTAATAACCCTACACTGCAACTTATACTGATCTTCATACATCAGAAGTGGGATATAGTCCCCGTTATCTTTATTCCATAAAAATTCAATGTTGGCAACATTGAATTTTTGTGGGATAAAGTCCCGTTTCTTTGCCCACATTTAATTTTTATAGAATAAATTCCTCGTTATCGCTCACATGGGATAAAGTCCCCGTTGTTGCTCACATTTAGTTTTAAAATAGTAAAAGGGCTATTACGTTTGTGAAAGACTATAATGCGCTTAGCGTTGATGCCTTAGTTTTTATGTTAAAACTGTTTATTGAAATAGAGTAAAACTTAAATTGACCAGATTTCAGCCAAAAGTTAAATCCTTTTTGCCCAATGGCAGCCTCTCTTTAGTTGCTGACTTCTCCTCCTCGTTTTCCTTCTTAGATAAGGCACACCAGAAACACAAGGCACAGAAGGTAGAGGTGCCCTTTGCGCCTCTACCTTCGCCTGCACTACGACTCCTCTCCTCGAGTCTCCTCGAGCCCGATATGTGAATGGAGCTAGGAGAAAACGAGTACTTCGAAGCATCAAGTGGTGCAGCCTCACCAAAGTCGCAAAGGATAGTCAATTGGCGCATCGCCAATCGCCATACCAACCCTACCCTTACGACTCCACCTTGACTACAGCGGTACAGGGATAGAAATCTCCTCTAGCCGCGGCCCACTAACACATCCAACGTGGCTCGACATCATCAGGCGACCTTTCGAAACTTGGCTATGGCCCTTGTGTTTGGGGAAAAATGAGGAAAGAAGAAATAATAAAACCTTCGAAATAATAATTTAATACTTTTATGCTTACTGGTACTGGTACTACCAGAAAATATTGTTGGTATACTGCACTTTTTCAAAGTGGTGCAGTTCTCATGTCTAATAAAACAGTCGTCTGTGAAATGTTTAGAACAAATATGATCATTAACACAGTTAACAGATATGGGTAGGAAAGAACATCGATAAGTATTATAGACAAAGAACTCGATAACCCTATTGAATTTTATTGTTTATCAAAACTCAGTATTATACAACCAAACATGTTGGTATATATGATATTAAGATTATCAAATAGTTTTAATTTGTTTAATATTTGCTGCAAATTCACTTACTCGTGAAATGTTATACCACTTCCCTTTTGGTAACGAGTTTTACAGATTACGCACACTCTCATTATTATTAAAAATAATTCTTATTATGTAACTTATATTATACGCAATCAAACAACATAAAAAAACACTTTCATTTTTTAGTTCAAAAGTACAAAATACAGATTTTTTAAATAAGATAATTTAAATAAGGCAACAGACTTTGGCATATTGTGTCAATTTAGTTTTTCAAGACGTCCATTAGTGGCGCTTCATATTCGCACATTTTGTATTTTGACATGTTGTATGGTATAGCCAGTCTAGAATACTTGTATATATAGAGGTCAGTGAGCGCAGAGCAGGAACGTTGGATATGTTCCGTTTTTTGTACATTTGCTTTTTCTTTAGCTCTGAAATTCGTGGCAATAGTGAAGCGTGATGTCACGCTACTACTGGTCATAATACTAATGTAATCCGAAGAACGATGCATTAAACATAATCGTAAATATACTGAGAGGCCTAAGTGAATTTATTTATTTCTTTACGTAAACACGACTCTTTATATACAGATAAAAAAAACGGTGAAAGTCCCGACGACTTTGCAGATTATAGTATTGGATCTCCGTGCGCAATCCACCTATCTTCATATTCAATATTTAGGTTAGGTGTCATTCGCTGCACTTAAATGGTACACGTACGTTAATTTTTTGCCGCGGTAAACACTCACTTTCGTATAATCTTTGCGCACCACATAAACTTTCATTGTTGAAAATGTAATATCGCACCATTTCAAAGTTTCATAGTTTTCGCAGTTTGAATATTTTCGTAAAGTCATTGGTAACAAAGCGTACGCAATGAGGTCATGGTCAACACTGTCAACTGTCGACCGGATGAGCGGACGTCGGTGTAACGGTAAATCTAAGGAAAAGGTGAGGGAAGACCAGAGCACGACAGCATACCTAAAATATACCTATTTTTTGTACCTTACCAAGCGACCCTTACGAATGTGTGATATTTATGAATGAAAATCAGTTTAAATAATTCATTATCACGCATTTTGAATTTAAAAGAGAAAAATGATACAATTTTTGAGATTTTTTAAATTAATTTTCCTTCACCATTTGTCCATATTACTTATTCTGAACCTTCTATTCAAATTTGGCCAGTTATTGAGAAAAAAACTCTGTATATTATCTTGAAAAACAACTATATTTCAGTTTGTGATATTTTTAGTTATATGTATAGTAATCGACGTAATAGTCCATAAAGGGAAGTTAAAAATATTTCTTTTTTATACTTTAATCGAACATTAATTTATTAAGCATTAGCTTGAATCCATGAAGTAAAACGTGAAACACGCGTATTAACACCAGGATAGCGAGCAAGAGCACACTGTTCTCCCCAGGAGCATATCCCAACGATAACATTATTATGAATAAGCGGACCGCCTGAATCGCCCTGACATTGATCACGACCCCCAACGTCGAGCCATCCCGAACATAACATGCTGTCGGTGATAATGACACCCAATTCAGAATAGCGGCTTCTGCAAATGTTTTGGTTTATTGTCCAGATCATCACGTGACGTAGTTGTTCAGAAGTTGAACCACCGACCTGAAAGAAATATATTAAAATATATGCACTTTTAATTGTAATTGTATTCATATTTCCCTGAACAAATAATTTCCTTTTTTATTATTATTAAAAACTTTTATTTAACTTCACTTGTATGTATGTCCTGAAATTTCGGAATTATCCCACTTCCACTGAAGTCTTTGGATTACTTGACACACAAATTTGGTTTTTGTGACAATGCATGATTACTTAAATGGCGCTATTTTTAATCCAATATGACGGATGTCACAAAATGGCGATTTATAATTTCCATAGTAACTCCTATGGTATGAGTGTCAAATTAAATGGCTTGATGAACGAAACAATAAGTGACGTTATTCTAGATCCGAAATGGCGGACGTCTAATATAAAATTACAATATTATTATGACATATAGTTGATCTGATGATAGAGCTGGAATATACCCATGGCTGGGGTAATAATGGCCGCCATACTAATTTTAAAGAGTTATAACTCGGCAAAAGTTATGGATAGTTTTGTGCTGCACGAACAAATGTTGTAGGGTCAAGTGCTGGCAATAAAAACAATTCAAAAAATTCGAAGTTCGCGATCAAGAACTTAGTTGCTTCAATCTGCCTGTAATTTTTTAAAAGTCCGCCTAGCTAAGTGACGTCATTCTAAATCAAATATGGCGGACCATCCAAATAGCGGATTAGTTATTTTTTATAAACTCCCATAATATGAATATTATAAGACAGGTTTTACTAGGAGAATACAAAGAATAAAATAACGTCACCCTAAATCCAATAGGGTGGACTCCTAAAGCTGGCGAACTATGATTTTTATTCACTCTCACGATATGGATATCAAATGAACGTATGGGTTCAAATGTTGATACCAAGATTAACACTTTGTTTGCTGAAAAAAATACGAATAAAATTACCACAAAGATGGTGAAGCGAAACGTAAGAAAAGTTTTTAACTAATACCAACCCTGGGTAAATACTTAAAAAACCCCCCCCTTAAAATAAAACTTTGAAAGTCTACCAAGACACGATTAGGGTAGTGCTTGAAACTCTTTACCCTCTGAATCCCTTTCAATAATGAGGAGAGGCCTGTACCTAAACTTTCTTTTTAATAAAATAAAATTGATGAAATAAAAATACGCTAAGTTGTATCTATGACTGACCGAAGTAGCTCCCCATCCGACTGCTCGTACTGGTTGATTGTCGGCAAGATTGTAGTTGGAGCCCGCGATTCTGCCCGAACGTACGCTGTTACTGTATGAAAAAGTCGTGGCAGAGTGTAAAATAGCAATATCGTTGTCAAAAGTACGGCTATTGTAGTTTGGATGATTTATGATAAGTGCCGTATTATGTACCGTACCACCACTATTTGCCCATGTGGAACCTACACGAATACGCCAACTTGCGGTTGTATCACCTCTGAAAGAATAATTATTAATTAAACACTCCTAAGAAAAAATAATGCTCACATCTTATTTTTTGTACATAAAAAATTAAAACTTACAAAAAACAATGGGCCGCAGATAGAATAGCTCTGTTAGTTAATATTGCACCGCCGCAAGCTTGAAAATAATTAACTAAGTTCCAAGAGTATAATAACGACGATGCATAAGGATACACCTCAATATTGGTAGCCGAACCACCTACTATCCTTTGCTGTTTGTTCGGAAAGGCTGAAATAGAAGAAATTATTATATATAGTTCGGCTGTCAAAATATGTTTTATGCCACAGTATTTATTGGGAAAATCCTTATCAAATCGTATCACACTTTTAAACGAACGAAATTATGTGCATTGTGAAAACTCGTGACAACTCTACAAGCGCCTAGCGAGTGACTCATTAAAGTGCGGTGTACGCACTGCAGTTGAATGGAATAGAGTAGCTGAATGTAGTATCGCCTCTAGTACGTAGTAATGTGTTTTCACAAGCATTGATAAAATTTATCACTGAAGCAAAGAATTGAAAGCTATATGCTTACAATATGGTGGATAATTCGCTTATATTATCGATCCTATACATAAATATAAAAAATCATATCGATTTATTTATAATTTAATTGTTTATATGTTAAAAATTGCACTAATATAACAAAATACTTATAACATAATAAAGTATTTTCATAACGGTCACTAATTTCGAATTTTTCTAGCTTAGAACATGATATTGTCATTTAATCCACTAAGTATCTGGATGACCGAGCTTTGCTCGTTTTTTTTTTTGAAATTATATTTAGATACAAATTACATACTAATAATAATATTTTTTGATCTTATTGACATAATAGAAAAAACTGAACTGGTTATTTGAATAAAAAATCACAAGTGAAATTAGTTTAATTAAAATTTTCTAAAAATACTAAAAAAGGGCTTGAAATAATAGATTTTATCACATAAGAAGGGAACTTGAAAACAAAAGGAAAAAAAGTCGGACCGAAGTCAGGACGAGAACGAAGGCATTACGATTTCGCGACCTATCGATATCCACTTGAGCTATTACGATCATTAACACAGTGTCGAAATTTACCTTCTTATATTGTAGCAATTTTTCATTGTCTGAAAACACGGACAAAAAAACATTTTCTAAAAAAAAACCTAGCTAGATCGATTTATTCCCCCCGAAACTCCCTGGACACAAAATTTTATGAAAATCGTTGGAGCCGTTTTCGAGATTCCGATTATATATATATATATATAAAAATATATATATATATATATATATACAAGAATTGCTCGTTTAAAGGTATAGGATATTGATTAAAATTACCGTGTTTCTCAGTGCTCTATGCTCAGTGACCTCAATAGTGCTTCCCAACGGATAAGTCTTAAAATGAACATGGACAAAACAAAGATCATGTTTAATGTCGTCACACCTATGCCCGTAGTGGTTGGGAGCACTAAGCTCGAAGATGTTGAGACGGATTCAACTCGGCTGGGCAGCGTTCGGGAAATTACGACACATCTTCTCGTCAGGTATATCTCAAAACCTGAAAACTAAGCTGAACAACCAGTGCGTGTTGCCAGTGATGACCTACGGAACCGAGACGTGGTCCTTCACTGTTGGCGGTATGAGGACGCTCAAAGTCGCTCAGCGAGCCATGGAGAGGGCTATGCTCGGAGTTTCTCTGCGTGATAAACTTAGAAATGAGGATGTCTGCAGTAGAACCAGAGTGACCGACACAGCGCAAAGGATTAGTAAGCAGAAGCGGCAATGGGCCGGCCATATAGCTCGAAGAACCGACAGTCGTTGGGGAAAAAGGTTATCGAGTGGCAGCCGAAGTGGTAGACGAAGTGTAGGGCCACCCTCCACTAGATGGAGTGACGACCTGGTAAGACATGCAGGAAGTCGATGGATGCACGTGGCTTAGGACCGTGTTTTGCGGCATACCTTGGGGGAGGCCTATGTGGCTTTACAGCTAGCCATAATGATGATGATGATGAGCATGATTATGATGTCACCTCTAACGAAACCCACGAGTCGATATGGGGTAGTGGTTATTCTTACACTGCCACTTCACGGTACACCATTCGCTTAGCTCAAACAAACACCTATTTTCACACAATTTGCAGCAATTATGCGACTAAATTAATAAATTCGAAGATTTTTTCTCAGAGGTGATTTAAATTCATGTAGAAAACACCAATAAAGCATGAAATGAAATAAACGATTCCTATTCAATATAGATTATTGCATAATACTTATTGCAAGTCATTTTTTTATTTACTACTAATTCGAAAAACAACCCTGTCCTGAGAGGAACCAGCAAAAAACCCATCTGGACTTTTCTTTAAACATATTTCACTTTATAACATTTTTTTTTGTATAATTTTTGAATGATATTTTATAGAACCAGCATGGTGGCGATCACCTTATTCCCAGGGATTATTCTCATTTATGTATTATTTGATATTAAAATTACCATTTTTGTAAAAAAAATCTTAAATAAAACATTTAAACTTGTTTAATGACAAATTTTGTATATTTTCTGGTGTTTTGTTTGGCGTATACATTGCCCCATAAATTAATTACTCATTCTGTGGATACTAGTAACTGCGTTGTTTCTGGTCTTAAAGAATGAACATCTTTATTCTTACGAAAGCTATTTGTGTTTTTATATACAAACATAACATTTTAATAAATATATTACGATTCCAAAGATAATATGTTTATTTATTTAAATTTTTCTCTAAGGGACTCTTTTAAATTTAAGTTGTAAATCGCCCGTACGGCGCTCTTTAACAAAACAAATATGACTTCAATATCAGTCGCATTACCCCATTGCAAGATTCCATAAGATATTACGCTATGAAACTAACTAAAATAAACTAATCTAGCTGTCTCAACATTGGTGATATCTTTATTACTACATGTACTGCAGAAATAAGTGTAGTAATGCGATAAATTCCGTAAAATTAGTTTTATTTAACCTTTTAGTAGACTTCAAGAATCCCTTTCCTAAAATAAAGAAGGCTTGTGCAAAGCCGTAAGACATAACAGCTTAACGTAATCCATCACTCCCGAGATTTAGACTACGAAGGATACTCACCCGAAACTGTTGAAAGGCCCACGGCCAGAAGTATTGATATGAAGAAACAGCTCATTTCAACTTACTCGATGCCACTATTAATCATTACTTGTGGTCTTGGTACTTATATCAATAGCTCATCCACTCATAAATAGTATTTCAAGGGTGTTATATATCACACAAACAACTTCTTATCGGAATTCGTTCTTGAAGTATTAAACTGGCTATTGCTCGTGGTTTGGCTCTTATAGATTTCGCAACTTGTAAAAAATACAAATCACAATTGGCTTCGTGCACACACCCTTACTTTAAACACAGCAAAAACCAAATTCGTTACTTTTCTATCTCTACAATATCACAACCTAAAATTCCAGTAAAATTAATAGCCCACTCATGTCATCACCAATATCAACAAGCTTGCCAATGTCCCCTTCTCTTTCTTGGCATAACTCTAGATAAAACCCTAAATTTTAAAGCCCACATTGAAGATTTAACCACCAGAGTCCGTAAATTAATCTTTATTTCCAAATCACTTCGTCACGTCACTAATCAGAGTATTATACGCAACGTTTATTTTGCACTTTGCCTTTCTTTCATATCTTACAGCATTTCACGTTGGGGTGGTGCCGCAAAAACTATCTTGAAACCTTTAGAAATCGCACACAGATCAATTTTAAAGATTATGGCCTTTCGACTCATATTATATCCGACAATTCAGCTCTACAAAGATCATAACGTTCTTAATGTAAGACAATTGTTTATACTACATACAGTGATGTTACAACATCGTAAGGTTCCATATATCGAAATTACCAAGAGGCGTAAGGACAAAATCTGCAGTATTCCGAGAGTCTACTCGCATTTTGCTAAAAGGTTTTTCTCATATGTCGGTTACTTTCTTTATAATAAAATCAATTTTAATATTTCTATTTATGAACCTTACAAATGTAAGAAAGGCGTGTACTCCTTCCTACTAAATAAGAGTTATGAAGAGACAGAACAGTACTTATTAACTAACTGATTTATATTATATTAATATAATTATATTATGAGATCACACACACACACACACACACACACACACACACACACACACACACACACACACACACACACACACACATTCACACGCGCGCCCGCACGTACTCACTTACCCACTCACTCACACAAAATCTGTAGTACTAAAAAGTTAAGAGCAAGTTTTGCTTTCCGATTACTTTTTTAAGGGGTAATCGGAAAGCAAAACTTGCTCTTAAGTAAGGTTTCTCATGTAAGATTTTATATGTACTACAAGTAAAAGTATTTTTTAAACACAAACACTCCTATCACCCAGAGGGGTAGGCACAGACTACAGACTTCCATTTAGCACGTTCCTGACATACCTCTCTCGCCTCTTCCACATCCATATACCTACGCATACATGCTCGTCGGTTAAGCGTTCTCTTAATTTGGCCTATTTTTAATATATCGCCAATTTGGTCGAAAAACTTTCGCCTAGGACGTCCCTTTCCGACTCTTCCATTCACTTCTGCAAAATATATTTACTTTGTCAGTTTCCCTCTACATTCTTTCTACATGACCAAACCACCGAAGCATTCCTTTCTTAATCCTGGTCACCGCATCATCTTGCAAACCACACTCTTCTTTTATCACACAGTTTCTCACCCTGTCACTCAGATTCAGCCCTAATATCCTCCTTAGCGACCGCATTTCCACTGTATTTATTCTACTCTCGTGCTTCTTCTGCCACACCCAACTTTTACTACCATACGTTAAATTAGGAACTAATACAGCATTGTGAATTGCCATACGTGCCTTTTTGACACATCTTGACTTTTCACAATAGACTGTAGGGCCCCATTTACTTTATTTCCTGCATTCACTCGTCGTTCAATATCCTTATCATATCTCCCATCCCTGCTGAATACACATTTCAAATATATAAATGCATCTACTTGCTTGACCATCTTCCCTTCTTATTTCACATATCGTTTTACTTTCTTTTTCAAAAACCATAACTTCGTCTTACTTGCATTCACTTTCACTTGCCCCTTTCTTTTAATGACTTGTTCATTAATGTAACCATCATTTGCAACTCGGCCGCCGACGACGCAAGTATGACTTGATGATCGGCGTACAAAAGACATTTGATGGTTAACTCACCCATTCTTAACCCGCATTCTTCAACTTTCAAATTTTCCGGACAACTGTCCAAAAATAGGTTGAACAGCCACGGAGAAGCTACACAGCCCTATTTGACAACTTTATGGATGCCCTAGTCCGAGTAGGCCCCGTTGATCCTAACACAAGCACTCGAGCCCCTATATAGAGACTTTAATGCCTGTATCAACCCAGCGTTCAACCTAAATGAGTTCATCGTTTGCCATAACACATTCCTGTCCACTCTGTCATAAGCCTTTTTCAAGTCCATGAACGCACAAAAAACTTTTTGTTTTTCGCCAAAACTTCTCCGCGATCATTTGCATGGAAAAGACTTGATCTGTACACCCAATTTCTTTCTAAATCCCGCTTGCACATCCCAAATTTTTCCATCAGTTCCTTTCATAACTCTTTCAATTAGTATGTTAGCATACAGTTTCCCACAATGCTAAGAAGGCAGATACCACGGTAGTTTGTACAGTATTGCTGTGACCCTTTTCCCTTATATATTGGGACTATCACGGCTTTGCACCAGTCTCCCGGTACCCGCTTTAGTTCCTAACATAAATTAAACAAGATGTACAGCAGGCCTGCCACCGCTTCCTCTTCAGCCCTTAGCATTTCTAGTGAATTTCTATCATATCCGGCTGCCTTACCTACATTCATGCTTTTCATTGCTTTCATTATTTCATCTATACTTAATTATCTCTTAATTATCTCCCTATCTCTTTCTTCTTTTTCGGAATTTCTATTTCGTTAAGCACGTCTCCTAACGCATCATCATTCTGAATACAGCCATTCTCGTCTTGTATTGCATTCAATCTAGGCTGTTTTGAACATCCCTGTAATTTCGTACGAGTTTCCGGAACATTTTAATATTTACCTGGAAGTTATCCGATATTCTTCTACCATTCTTTCTTGCTTTTTCCTTTCAACTAATTCTTTTACTCTCTTATTTAGAAGTTTAAACTCTGCCTTTTTTCTTTCAATCTCATCATTCATACCGCCAGAATTACCAGCTTTGGTTGCTAGTAAATCTAGCCATGCTCTTTTCTTTGCTTCAACTTCCATACGTACCTCATTATTTCAACCATAACGTATTTTCTTTCCTTTCATTTGTTCTCTTACTAACACCACATACTTCGGTAGCTGCATCCACTAAACCTTTCTTAACATTATTCCACAGATTCTCCAAGTCTAACTCATTCACACACAATTCATCCAAATCACTTATATTTTCTCTCAGTCTACATTTTTACTTGTCTTTCACATCTTCATCTTGTAACCTCTCAATTCTTATACGCTGTAACGCAATGGTAGACACAGATGTCCGATACCAACGTTTGAATAAATCCCTAATTTGGCATAAAACCAAGTAGTGGTCCATCCCTACGTTGGACCCCCGGTAGACCCCTGTATCTACGGTCTTGCCATACCGGACCAGTACGCGGTATACATGCCATGTGTAGTGACATCTTTCCCCTTCTGCTTCGTCTCTTTTACATATTACACGTCTATTCTTCTATCATACATCACATCGCACACTTCATCCATCTTATCATTCATTGCTCCACATACATTCAGCGTAGCTAGACGCGCCTCCGCAATCCTCTTTTGGCCCCTCCGGGAGACAGATGGTGACGAGTGCCTCGTCACCGGTTTTCCTCCCGGATATTCTTCGCACCCCTGCCCCATTAAAGGGGCGCCGGGAACTCGGGGCCATTTCCTTTTCTCTTTGCCTCATGGTGCGAAAACTAGGGGGTGGTATATTTTACGCTGCTACCACACGGCGAGTAGCCGAGTCTGTTCTTTCGGCTCTGTCGCTTTTTAGCACCACCTGGGGGAAACGTGTAGGGTGGACCTAGGATTAGGTGGTGGAAGCCTACGGATGCGAGCGACTTATCCCCCCAATGCATTAGTAGTAGATAGAGTAGAACGTCTGCCAACCGTTTCGGTCGACTCCTCAGCAATGATTAATTTTGATAATTTAACTTTGGCAAATGACACTTACGCCGTCCCTAGAGATATTGACATGCTCATTGGGGCATCTGTTTTCCCTCACCTTTTGTTACACCTTACTGTTCAGGGGTAACTCCTCGTGTACCTCGCCTTGCGCATTGGAGACCATCTTGGGTTACGTTATCATTTGTTCCGCCCCCATCATGGATAATATTTCGGCAACCTCCTATTGTTGTATGGCTGTCAAACCGCTCGAGTCGTTAGTTCGCAAATTTTGGGAGATGGAGGAGGTGAACGTTGCAATAAACAATGTGACATGTAATTTTTATATATAAAGAAGTTAAGACACTTCAAGTCCTCGTAGTTATTATTATTTTTATTTAAAAGTTTAATAATATGTTAAACGTTAACCTTAATGGCATCGATGAGCACCAAGTAAATCACTTCATTGTTATAGAACCGCTCTTCAGCTAAATTATGATTCATCACGAATGGTTTAGACTGACATAAGAAGGACACACATATAACAGATCAAAATTCCAGCATTAAATAGCAGCTAAATGCTTGTGTGTTTATTACGGTGAAAGTGGAGAACCGGAGAACCTTCTTTTACTGTAAACGAGGCATTCTATTTCAGTCCTCAGGGGTGACATTCACTTTGATTTCCAATCGAGGATAGATGTAAATGTCTATGGGCTCCAGCACTTAGTTACCGTCAGGTGGACTGTGTGCTCGTGTAAAACCTTAATTCTGTAAAATAAAGAACAATTAAAACGAACAATTTCATTGGTACCGACGGTCACCAAACTTTCATACTCCAAAATTTACGTCGACAGCTCAGCTCCACAACTGCCACGACCCTGGACTATGCAGAAGTATTTTGTTCCACGGTTTGTTTTTTTGTCATCGCCAGTACTCTCCAGTAATTGCTCCTACTGATCTACATTTTTTTCTGAA